ACATCTGATCCACAAGATGGAGGCAGAGAGAGAGAGAGAGAGAGAGAGAGAGAGAGAGAGAGAGAGAGAGAAGGAGGGAGAGAGTCAGAAACAGAAACAGAAGGGCCTGGGATGGGCTTTTGAACCTCAAAGTCCACTCCAGTGACACATCTCTTCCAATAAGGCCACACCTCCTAATCTTTATCACACAGTTCTACCAACTGAGGACCAAGCATTCAAATATATGAGTCTGTGGGGGCCATTCTCATTCAGACCACCACATATACTTGAGTAGATTCAGAGATATCAGAGACTCTGAGGTAGCTGTTAGCCTTATCCACTGAGGGTCTTGCCCTCAGCATAGCAGCCCCTGTTCAGCTCACCAGTGTGTCCAGCTAATAACAGTTGGAGCCCCCCCCCCATTGTGTTGTCTCAAGAAGCAGTGGCTGGGAGCTTGTTGGCTGAGAAACTGAAGTATAGGTGTGGTGGTTTGAGTAGGAATGACCCCCAGAGGCTCATATATTTAAATGCTTGGCCACTAGGGGACAGAGCTACTTGACAGCCATTAGGGCATGTGGCCTTGTTGGAGAAAGTGTGTCCTAGAGATAGACTTTGGGATGAGATGAGCCTAATGGCTCTCTCTCTTCCTGCTGCCCGCTGATCCGGATGTAGAACTCAGCTCCCTCTCCAGCACCATGTCTGCCTGCATGCCGCCATGCTTCCCATCTTGACAATAACAGACTAAACCTTTGAGACTTTAAACCAGACCCTTTTAATATTTTCCTTTATAAGAGTTGCTGTGGTCATGGTATCTCTTCATAGCAACAGGACACTGACTAAGACAAAACAGGTAAACAGAGATGTCACTACCAATCAGGGCAACAAATAGGCTCGCCAAGATGGATCCCAAGACCATATAGAAAATCACCCTGGTGGTGGAGACACACTGACAGCAGATGCAAGGTGACTTTCAACCATTTCCCAACTAGAATGGATACCAAATTAGTACTCACATTGACACATGGATTAAAAACAGCAGTGACCTCAGGCCCAAACTGGGGTGGAACTGGAAGGCATAAACAAGATAGCTGCCACACGGAAGGCATGGAGCTGTCGCTGACTAACACTGAAATCCAGAACACTTTCCCAAGCCAGGAGAAAACCAAACTGATTCTTTTATCTAATTACTATGTGTACGCACGATTTGTTTGTTTGTTCGTTTATTGGATGTTTTGTTTGTTTTTCCCAAGACAAGTTTTCTCTGACATCCCTGGCTATCCTGGAACTTGTTCTGTAGACCAGGCTGGCCTTGAACTCAGAGATCTACCTGCCTCTGCTTCCCAAGTGCTGGGATTGAAGTCATGAGCCTCCCCTGCCCCACAACAGTGGTACTTGAACAGGGACTTGAAAGTACATAGGTTTTATAAAGCAAGCATTCTTACCATAGCTTATATCGTTAAATTTATAAAGTGATCCCCTTCCCCTCCCAGTTTATCACATCAGTTTTAGGATGCTGTTGCTGTCTTTAGACACACCAGAAGAGGGCATTAGAACCCATTGCATAGAGTTGTGAACCACCATGTGGTTGCTGGGAATTGAACTCTAGGCCTCTGGAAGAGCAGTGAGTGCTCTTAACCACTGAGCCATCTCTCCAGCCCTCACATCAGTTTTAGAGTCTTCACATTCTGGTAAATTGTCTCCTAATTATTAAATGCTAAAACTTAGGTGGTTCCTGTTTAAAAAGAGAGGAAGGTAGTAGGGAGGCCTCACCATAATCCTTTCAACAACCTTCTCTTCTAGGGTTAGCTGCTGGGCATAATTCTCTAAGGCCAGCATGCATCCCAGAACTTAAACAAAGTGCAAGGGTCCACCAAGTAGCTCTCCAGGCTCACAGCAGGTGAGTTGATGGATAAGCAGTACCAGGCTGTTCTCCACCCCGCCCTCACCTCCCCCACATTCCACTCGGAAAATGTTAACGGCTGCTCCACTTTATGAGAGGCAGTCAGGGATCCTCCTGCCCAGGCTACACAGATTCAGAGACACAATGGATCAGAATGGCTCTGTGTGCCCCCCAAAACATCTGACTATATTTCAGCTGCTCCACAATGACAGACAGTGGCCCAGAAGCCAGCAGATTACCCAGGACACATGTAGTCAGGTCCCCAAACCAGCACCCTTCTTCCAGGCTGTGGTCCCAGTTCCCTGGGTTCTTGGTGGTTTACAGGGTCTGAACAGGAAGAAGAGGCCATCTATAGACTTTCATGCCACTAGGAATAGACAGGACAGTGTGATATGGTATGGAGCAGTTTCCATTTCCCAGAGTTGGAGGCAAATATTCCCATCCAAGTTAAATGGATAGTACACATCCCATAAGTCACCTGGAATGTATCCTAATGATCCACACTGCACTCCCACTGTCCCAAAGACCCATGGACAACATAACCAAAAATGTGGCTCTCACAACCACACTGCCTGTACACTAAGGCGGTGACCAGCACCCACTCATTGTGTAGATAAAGAGGCGTCCAACTCCCAGGGCCACTGTCCAAGGCACACCTGTCTAAATACCAGCTGGAGTATTACCAACAGCGAAAGACTACTGCAGTCCTGTAGACTGTCATGTAGAATGTCATGGCGCCCAGACAGGCCAGACCACCCAGCACAGGCCACATCCAGGCCTCTTCTAAACACTATCCAAGACTCAGAGCCCCTTCTTATCTACTACCCTGACAAATGCTGTTCTAGAAACCTTACAGCTAATCTCAAACTAGTCTTGAACATGCCTCCCATCAAGAGAAATTGAGACACGTTTTTCTGGCCATTACCCTCTACCCATAAAGACACCGCCCCAGCCTGACAGTTCCACTCCACCTGCAGAAACAATATGCCCGGGTACTGAAAACAATCCACCCTGCTTCCCACCAAACCACAAAAGAATAACTGTAACTTCTGGTAGCTGTGTGCAAGAATCACACACACACACACACACACACACACCTGTGTGTGCCCTGGAGAAAGATATCCACGAATGATAATGGCCATGACAATCCCATGCCCTCTTCAGCTGTGAATCTATGCAGGACATGTCCCAGTCTGTCCTCAAACCTGGGGCAGGAAATGACAAGCACTTTTCAGGGACAGACCAGGCCCTAACCAGTGACAAGGGCCATGCTGAGGAAAAAATAGTTACCTTAGGCCACTTGTACATTTTTAAGAAAAAAAAAAATGACACCAGGCTCAGTGCTCAGATACTCCACCATGACAGAGGCCACTAAGGCACAGGTTTGTGACCTCGCAACAGTAGCTCCACCCCAGCTGTGCTTGCCCTCTGCTCCCTCTGATACTCTAGGGCAAGGGGTCCTCGTCTAATGCCTAGGGGTCACCTACCAACCCAGGCTTCGAGATTCCAGATGGCCAGCAATGGGGATTGCAACCAAGGTACCCAGGCTAAGAGCAGAGTCTTCTGCATCCCACATGCCCAGGGGTGGGAGCTGATTCACAGTGGCCACCACTGGGAAGTGTGCTGGACCCAGAAAGCACAAGCTGGACCAGTAAGGTCTTCATGTCTGCAACCATACAATGCACTGGGTCCTGATCATCTTCATGTGACATCTGTCCTTCTACTTCTGTGAAGCATGCTGCTCTGGAAGACCACATAGCCCCTTGTAGTGCTGGGCAGGGCTGCCCATGCCCAAGCCACCTTCCCTAGGGCTGAAACTCCAGGCCATGCTTGCTCACATCACGGGGAAGCTGCTGATCTTGGGTATACTCCTCCCACCATCCTGGTTAGGTAACTATGTCTCATATTGCAACAGCTTAGATATCTAGCAGTGGAATCCTAAACTTCTAATCCAAACAAAATAGCCTCTCCCAGCTTGCACATTGGAGACTTCCTGTCTGTGTGGAATGGGAGTAGAGTCCTCGTGGTCACCTGTTCTAGCTTTTTAAGACAGGATCTCACTCACTATGGAGCCCTGACTGGCTTGGAACTCTCTAAGCTGGAGATCTGCCTGCCTCTGCCTCCTGAATGTTAGGTTACAAAAAAGCACCACCACACCCAGCTCTCTCCCATAGGGAGAGAGATTTGACTATAGGCTTACTCTTCTGAGTTGAGGTGTGAGACTATAGACACTAAGGGGATGGCTGTGTCAGAGGCGTAAGGTTTCTGGAGGAATCTCACTGGTCAGTTAGCAGACTCGGAAGCAAGTCCATTTTCCCATCTGTTTCTAACTAGTTTTTCTGGTTGGGTGGAACTCACTGCCCCTGGTTTTAGAGAGCACTGGTCAGTGCTAACCACACTGGATGTCTTATTTTCCTGCTACACACTGCTACACTAGCTATGCTGTATTTCATGGCTCTAACTTCAAAATGTACTCTCTTCAAGACACAAAAGAAAAGCTAGAGTGGACCTAAGAAGTGACCCTTCCCCAGGGATGGATGAATCAAAGGGGGCTTCACATAGCTAGTCAAGAGAAAACAACAGCCCCCTTGCCTGCCACTCACCCCGTGAGCTCCAAAGACGAATGCCCAGTGGGAACAAATGTAAGGCTGGCCCTGGCAGGAAGGGCTTGACACATACCTGTGTTGGGACCACCATGTTCACTGTACCTATTTGTACAGTGCTACAGGCCAGGGTGGCTACAGCCTCTCCTCACTCGCTCACACTCCTAATATTAACTCCCTAATCCACAAGTGAAGACATACTGGGAATCCAGAACACACTAAATGCGTGGAGAGATGTAAGGAGCCACAACTTTACAATTAACTTTATGTGAATAATTTTCTAGCAGCAGCAGCAGGTTGTAATTCATATTTTCTTCTGGAAAATGATAACAGCAAAAAAAAAAAAAAAAAATTCAACCTCCCAGACTGCCAGGACTCCAGGTCATGAGACAGGCCAAGTCCTAGAGGACAGTGTCTAGAGCACATGACTGAAAGGTGCCCCTACTGATTCAGCTGAAGGACTGTCCCATATCTAGAAAGGCCAGGTTCTGCAGGCAATCAGAGCCTTCCACATCTGCTTACCAACCAGACCAGACAGGTCTTCAAGAACAAGGTAAGCTGGGTGTAGTGGCAATTGCCTTTAATCCCAGCACTCAGGGGACAGAAGCAAAGGCAGAGGCATGGTGGATCTCTGTGAGTTTAAAGGTCAATATGGTCTACATCAGAAGTTCCAGGACAGCCAGGGTTATATAGAGATCTCAAAACAAACAAAACCCAAGGGAATGGCCTGGTCAGATGGACCACAGTTACCAATCCAAGGCCTGCTTGATATGACAGCCAATTCCATTCAGCTCCATGGGAGTGAGTTGTGATGCTCTGGGTCATTATGGTAACTGATCTGGGGCTGGACAACTCTGCTGCAGCCCTCAGAGTACATGCTACATGGCAAACCATCCAGTAAGATCCAACCAAGAGACCACATGGCACTCTTCCCAGAGATGTGTAGGGAGAGGTGTTAATTCCCTAATTGGTTCTTAATTGTGTCAATAAAGGAGGCAGAAGCCAATTGTTGGGTGAAAGGAAACAGATGGTACTTTTCGGTTCCAGGCAGAAGGGAATAGACACAAAGAAGAATTCAGACCAGGCTTTGGAGCGAGTAGGAAGCTGCAGACATGTAAGTCTTGGGGCTCCTCGAGTTTATAGCCTCTGCTATCAGCAAGGGGCTAAGCAAGATGGAAGGAGCTAGTTGATAAGATTAGGGCAGGAAATTCTTCGCCCAGCCATTGAGTTATATGGCTAGTTTTAAAATAATAAAACTGTCTAGTGTTTTTTATCTGCTGAGGTGGTTGTTGGCGGCAGCTTGGAAAAGCTAGCCATGAGGGGCTGGGGGAGTAATCGCGGCTCTGGGGAAAAATGGCTCAGCTGGCCGTTGGTGGAGCTGAGTGAGACCAGCTGTGGCCTCGTGTGGCACCAGGCAAGGTAGTGTGCTTTTAAAATTACACACTACCGAGATGCAACACAGCAGGTCTCCACAGGCCACCACAGAGCCAGTGAGAGCTGGCCTGTTTGGGAGTGGGGCAACTGCCTGCCCACTTATTCTGTCCACAATGAGCTGGTAGGAGAGGAGGGAAGGGTCAGCCACCTCTATCTGCTCTGTTCACCCCCAGAGAAAGGCAGCAGAGCCCAGAGGGTGCTCAGAGCCGGCTCCTGGCTAGCCAGTGAGTGTCAGTAACCTGGTCTATCTCGGGTGCCATCTACCGGGAGGCCTCCAGGCCCACCAACCCTGCATGCCCAAGGTCCCAGCATCTTGCACAACTTCTCGAAAAGATCCAGTTAGGCCTGAGCAGGTAGAGTCTTATAGGGGTTCAGGATGCCTTTGGGGTCCAGCATGGTCTTTAGCTGTTGCATAAGTTTCACGGCCACGGGTGGCTTGCTATAGCCAAGAACATTCTTCTTCTTGAAGCCCAGGCCGTGCTCGGCACTGACACTGCCCCGATGCTCCGCTGTCCAGGCATACACATAAGGCTCCAAGGCTCCAAGCAACTCCTGGCTAAAGGCCTCTGCTGTCACGTTCAGGTGAAGGTTGCCATCCCCTGGGGAACAAGGGGACAGTTAGGCTGAGCAAGCCCCAGAAATCTATCCCAAGAGTCCTCCTCAGACTTCACTCCCCCAACCTCCAACCAGGTGTCTGCACCCAACCCATTCTGGTTCTAAACCATGACCCCGTGGTCCATCCCTTCAACCCTCCAGGTCTATGAATGGCAGCTGCTGGGCCCCATCTTACAGTAATTTGGGCACATGAGCCACTTTTCAATACTCCCCAAAATGACTGGGAAATCAACCCCACAGTCTAAAGACACAGGCTGGTGAGAACCATTCCTGCACAGCAAAAGGTTTTTCAAACACCTGAAATGACAGTGTGCAGCAGTGCATGAGAGGCAGAGAGGCAGAGAGGCAGAGAGGCAGAGAGGCAGAGAGGCAGA